ACGCTAAAGATAAAATATGGAGTGAGATACAGGTACAATATGTGATGTTAATTGTTTTTAATGACGATTATGTCTCTAAATTACTTATACTAACGCACTTTGTGTATGATTTTCATAGAAGTCGTTCATCATTGAGGATACGAGGAAAGATTATATTCTTAAATTGGCCGAGAAACTACATAGAGGGTTTAGAGCTTTCTTGTCAAACAAGTTTTTAAGGGATGCGGATAAATTTTTTGTTGATGCAGAGCTTCCAAAGAAATATGCTAATTTGATTACAGTTAAAGAATGGGAAACTTTTAAATCAAAAAGAAATACCCAAAAATTTGAGAGCTTAAGTGTCGTAAATCGACAACGAGCATCAAGTCCAGCATATCCATACAGAAAAGGCCGCATGGGATATGCATGCTTACAATAATCTATTGTAAGTATCTATAAAGTGCAAAGTATCTATAATATATACACGCTTATATTTGATCATGTTTTTGGCTTAATGTGTAGCTAACAAAAGAGAATAGTTCTGAAACATCTCTTCCGAAACACATTTTGTGGAAGGAAGCCCGTGTGTGTAAGGATGGAGCTATTGAAGAAAAAGTTCAACAAATTTTTGAGAGATGTGTAAGTATAACATTATTTATTTAATTACATCATAATTTTATTTATTTAATTACATCATTCTTTTATTAACATATCATTCTTTAATTACAATATTTATATGAATTTCAGGAGAGTCTTTCCCAGTCTATACCTCCAGACGAAGATAATGATTGCAGGAGAATACTCTCACAAGCATTAGATATTCGTGAGTGTTCTGGTCGGGTGAGGGGTAAGGGATTTGGGATCACTCCAACATCCTTGGAAAAAAATCAAAGATAAAAGATCCAAGCAATAAAGAACTTCAGGAGAAGTTGAAAAAGTTACAACAAGAAGTATATGAGCTGAGAAAGGAAAAGGAAATCGTTCAAGCTACAGGCTTTAAAGATACTAGTGACAAAGGTAGTATCAATGGTAACTTTGGACAAAATATTCCCGAGGTAATTATATACCATCTTTATAAATTTTAAAACCATGTTTATTAGTTATATAACCATGTTTATTAATTATATAACCATATTTATTAAATTATATGGCATTTGCCGGTGTTAAATCTATTTGTCGACACCGACTTATCGGATGGTTGGCAAGGGAAAAGTGTATAATATTTTGGGAGAAATGCTTCACCATAGACCGCTCCCAGATGGATTTTTGAAAGTATCGGTCGATGTCGTTTTAGAGGGGGGGTGCGTTGTTACCACTACCTAACGACGTGGAAGATGCAACATTGGTGGAAGATGCAATAGTATCGTTTGTTGCATGGCCGTCAACCCTCGTTTGCATAGATAATGAGGTATGCTTAAAATCGTTTACTATTCAAATTTTTTATGGCAATTATACTTACATTTTGTTTACATGGTAATGTTAGACTCCAACAAAATCCATTCCAAAAGATAAAGGGATTAGGCGGGAGACCGAGTCAATTGCATCATTTGAGGTAACACAATTATATGACATTTATGCTATGAGAAATGCTAATTTGTGATTTTATACTTCCCCTAACTAACTATATGATAATTAGATTCATTCTAAAGAGACTGCATAAGTCAGTATGGGTAAGGCGCCTGAAATTAGCAATATTTCCACACAAAAAAAGAATGTTGCTAAGAAGACTATGGCTAGCAAAAAAACTACTGCTCAGTTCAGGTGGTGCCTTCGGACATATTTAGGAATTACAGATATTCCGGATGGTGGTACCCGCCTTATACCTATGAGTGGAGACATCTTTGGTTTTGAATATCTTGAAGCAATTGGTAGAGAGGATATGGAGCAAGTTTTTAGGCATTTGGAATTAGGCTTCGGTGTTATCGGTATATACATCAGGTATACTCCGATCAACTTTGTTTAATTAAATGAACAATTTAATCCCTCATTTCAATGAATATAGTGTAATGTTAATCATGTTTTAATTTAATGTTTATGTATGACAACATTTTGCGCCCGCGTGGATTAGAAGCAAGATTTGGCTTCTTAGCTCCCAACATTGTCAACTCAGAGTTAATTGTAACGAGACCAGATGATGTCATAGCATATGTACTAGGTTTATTTGTCGCCAGTAAAGATACTGAGAAGTTGTTCTTTTTGCCATATAATACTAGTAACGGGTTAGATTTTCATCCTAACTTGATCTATTATAATTTTCTGTTTTTGGCATTGTTTAATCTTTGTTTAATCTTACAGTGGACACTGGTTATTGGTTGCGATTAATCCTATGAGAGAAACTGTGTATTATCTGGACTCGTTATACAATGATTGGTCAACATATCCAGATTTGAAACAAATGATTGACACGTAAGTGTTTTGCTCCCAAAGAGATATTCAAGTTTATGTTTATGTTTATGTTTATGTTTATGGTCAACATATATGGATTTGTGTTTATGTTTATGATTCTATGTGAGATTATTCTAAACAATCGTTTATATTTTATTATAGCGTTCTACTTGCTTTTCGCTTCCAAAGAGATATTCAAGTACCAAAAAGTAGAGCCAACAACGTTACATGATTAGTGATGATACTTGATAAAACAATTTAAGGGATATATTTTCACAAAGAGATATTCAGTTTTGATTACATTAGTGATGATACTTGATAAAACAATTTAAGGGATATATCCTAATATATATTCGTATTTTCTTTCCATGTGTAGTGTCCTCGCCAGCGTAACGGTATAGATTGTGGCTATTTTATATTGAGGTTTATGAAAGAAACTATTCTTTTGGATCGATTAGAGATTCCATCCATGGTATAGATTTCTAACTTAGGAATTACATACTATTTTCATATTTTGTGTTTCTCATAAAATGACATATTGTTTTAACTAAATCACATACTATGTTATATTATTATATATGTAGTACTTTGAGGAATTTAATTGTGCATATTACTCAAAAGATCAATTGGATGAATTTATGGAGTAATGGTGTCAATTCATTATCGGGTTGAGAATTTTATAAGCTAAGGTATATTGTCTTATTTCCTTTGATGAGAACTTTCGAGTTTTGAGTATAAATTAAATTCGAATAAAGTGCAACGTTAATATTATCATGTTATTAATTTCGATCATTTGGTTTTTTTTTCAGGTTTATAGGTACATGTGTAGAAGATAGAGCTAACATATTCATGTTGTTGTTGTTTCATGAGAATTCTTGAAGATAGAAAGATGTATAGATGTAAATTCAATTTTGAATTTTAGGCATTTTAACTTGTAGACTTTTAACTTATATCATAAATTTTGTAATTGTTGTTGTATATATCATCAATTTATATATATGTGCAATTTTTATATATGTATATTTTATTGGAATGAAGCTACCAAATATGGTGCATAATATGGTGAAAACTTGGATCAAATATGGTTAAAATTATGATTAAAATGCATTATATATATTTGACAGCGCTTTTGTAAGTCAAAATAGATGATTTATTATAAAAAAATTGTGAACAATAGACAATGCTTTAGGAGAAAAGCGCGGTAAAAACTTTAAAAAAAAGAGTGTTGCCTAAAGTATGAAAGCGCTGTCTAAAGTGGGAGAATAGACAACGCTTTCAAAGGAAAGTGCTGTCTAAAGCCTATCTTAAAAAATAACAAAGCGTTGTCTAAAGCAGAAGCACTGCTAAAGGGGTATATAAAAAAAGCGATGTCTATTCTAAAAGTGTTGTCTAAAGTTGGCATAAAACAACGCTTTTACATTGAAAAAAAACGTTGTCTTTTCTTATAACAGCACTGCTTTAGGCAACGCTTTAAAGCGTTGTTAAAAGCCTAAAAAAGCGTTGTCTTTTCCCTTTTTTGTAGTAGTGCTCCCTGGGCGAAGATTAGATAGTTGGTTTAATTGATTGTAGCGAACAATGTCCTGGCCGTGGCATCTTCCCTGGCGGGGACGAGGACCTCGTGGAACTGGACGTGTTGGTAGTTCTGGGGAGGTGGCCGATCATTTTCAATTTGACGGGGCAGTTATAATGACAAAGTAGTTGCTCTGTCTCTATAGTCAAAAGGCCCGGGCATATTAACGCCATGGGTTGTGTTGTGGCTGGCGATATCGGCGTTGTCGAGACCGGCATTGTTGTCGGCGGTGTTGTTGTTGACGTTGATGCTACGGACGTTCATGTTGTCTGGAGTCTGGTCAGCCATGACAGTCGGGGATTGTTTAGCTTTGGTCTCAAGTGAATAGAAGACGGGGAAGCAGGTTTCCCACATACGGCTTACTGATCTTACCGGATCAGAAATGGACCGTCACAACTGGCTCGGGCAGAAGTTTGAATGAGATGGAGGGATACCTGCAAGACACTCCGATGGTAAAGTAAGTTGTGGAATGAGCAAGCAAGTATGAGTTTAGAGATGAATTGAATACCTGACCCTCTTGAGAGAGAGTGTATTTATAGCCCCTAGCGCTGGACCAAGGTTCCCACTCTCGGGCCACGTTGAGGCCCAATAACAGGAACTGCCAGGGCTTACGTGTATATGGAGTCTAGCAAGTGGACTCCCCCCTGTCAACTACTCCGCGAGAATAGGGTTGGACCCGTGATTTTCCGGAGGGAAGTTTAAGATGGTTGTCGTGTGATCGTGGGCCACGTCCTCCAACGGTCGGATGGAGAGTTGCCCAACGGTCCCTAATTTGGGTTGTGTTTGGACTTCCCGTTCGAACGGTAAGTGTAGACCCAATCCAGATCACAAAATATCAACAACTTATTACATTAATCAATTAATATAAATAATTACTATTAATTGATTTTGTTAATAAATAATATTTTAATAATTTATATATAATCGTAGATGCACATAGTTTAGGAAGATACATTAGAAGATTTGTTTATTATAAGTATTAGTTAATCCTTTAACCTCGATGGTATTTATTGGCTTCTTCCCATTCCTTTTGGCCTTGAGTCTCCTCCATTTTTCTTGAAACCTTCTATGCATTTTGAGACAAATATTGTGGATTGTTTTTATTGGCTTCTTCCCATTCCTTTTGGCCTTCAGTCTCCAACAATTTTCTTGAAATCTTCTCTGCATTTTTAGACAAATATTGTGGATTGTATTTATTGGCTTCTTCCCATTCCTTTTGGCCTTGAGTCTCCAACAATTTTCTTGAAACCTTGTTTGCATTTAGAGATAAATATTGTGGATTGTTTTTATTGGCTTCTTCCCATTCCTTTTGACCTTCAGTCTCCTCCATTTTTCTTGAAACCTTTTCTGCACTTTGAGACAAATATTGTGGATTGTTTTTGTTGGCTTCTTCCCATTCTTTTTGGCCTTGAGTCTCCTCCATTTTTCTTGAAACCTTCTCCGCATTTTGAGACAAATACTGTGGATTGTTTTTATTGGCTTCTTCCCATTCCTTTTGGCCTTCTGTCTCCTCCATTTTTCTTCTAAGTATCTCTAAACTTTCATATGAAAGAGATGGGTTTCCTTTCACGTGCTTCTTCGTTAAACTTTCATGCGAAATTTGTGCATCATTTTTTCCTGGAATCTTCTCTGAACATTTAGGTGGAATATGTGCATAAATTGATACGTGTTGATTTAACATAACAATAGTAAAAAGAAAGATACAAATGAACAATCCTTTCATGATGATGAGAATACTTTGAAAGTTCTATAATTGTTTTGTGCTTCTTTGTTACCTTTGTTACGTATTTCTATGCAATTCAAATTAAACTACACTTCATGCAGATTTATAGTTCCATTAGCGTATCTGTTTAATTTCAATAATGGAAAAAGAGAACTATTTTTGGCGATATTTGTATTATTAGGCTTATTTGTTTAGGATAAATTTGTTATTTACTATTTATCAAATATCTTTAATTGTATCATCATTATCATTGGATTGAAACAATTTTGCATGTCAGACATTTTTTTAGCTTTCAAAATGTGGTTTTATTTCTTTGGTTAAATCGTCGAAGAAACTTGATAATCCTTAGGTTATGTTTGGATTTTTAAAATAAGTAAATCTAATTAAAAAAATTGAATAAAAATGAATGGAACAAAATAAAATTTGTTAAATTGTAATTTATATTGTCAAAACTATGATGTGCCGAAGAGCGCACAAATTAGATTTGTTTTAGATTTAAATAGATTTGATTTTAATCTAAAATAAATAGATTTGATTTAGTACCAAAATAAATATTTTGGACTTTTATAGTTTTGGGCTTTGAGCTAACCAAAATCTATAAATAGGGATTAACCCCTAAGTTTGTAATCAAGTCAATTAAATTGTATTCACAGAATTTGCAGTTGCAAGTGAGTAACAAAGTTTTTCACAGTTTGTGGACAAAGAAAAACTCTACAAAAAATAATTGTCTTCTTTCTTTTCTTGTCTTTCTCATAATTCAGTGTCATTGTGTAGAAATTCATCATAGATATTTGGTGGATTTCCAACATCTGATATCAAGAGTTCGATTTCGATTCAAGGAAAGTATCAATCAAGAAAGATTGAGGAAGAAAAAGAATTCACGATGGCGAATTATGGGAATGCAAATTATTCAGCAAACAGATGAAAGTTTTGTTCAGGTGTCAAGATCTTTGGGATCTTGTAAAAGATGGATCCGAAGCGCTTGGAGAAAATGCTCTAGAAGAAGAAAAGAAGAAACATACATAATTTGAGAAGCTGAGTTATAAAGCACTATTTATAATTCATCAATGTGTGAGTCCAGAAAACTTTGAAAAAGTGAGTGATTCAGAATCTGCAAAAGAAGCTTGGGATGTTCTTGAGATGTCCTTTGGTGGCGCAGAAAAGGTGAAAGAAGTGAGGTTACAAACTCACAAGAGAACGTATGAATTGTTTCAGATGGAAGATAGTGATAGCATATCTGATTTTTTCACTAGGGTTACAAAACTAGTGAATCAAATCAAGACATGTGGAGAAACATTAAAAACAAGAGCTGTTGTTTCGAAGATCTTAAGATCTTTGGCTCCTAAGTTCGACCACGTGGTGGTGGCTGTAAAAGAGAGGAAAGAATTGACGAAATTGACAAAGGAAGAGCTTTAAGAGACGCTTGAATTTCATGAACAAAGAACGAATAAAAGAGATGCAGGCAAGTTAAAGAGTGATGTGGCTTTGCAGGCACATTCAGCAAAAGAAACCAAAGGCAAAGGAAAGTGGTTCGACATAGGTAGAGGCGGCTACAACAAATCGACTGGTAGAAGAAGCCCAGACGAAGGAAACATGTCGAATCAGAGAAGACCATACCAAGGCAACCAAAGGGATGGTGTTACAAATAGAGGAAGAGGTGGTGGTCGAAAACCTGATAACAGTCACATTCAATGTTACAATTGTTAGAAGTATGGTCATTATTCGAGTGATTGTCCAGAAAAATGAAAGAATCAAGAAAGTGATTCAAAGTTTGAAAAACATGAAGAAGAATAGATGATGATGATGGTCACAACAAGAGATGAATATATATTCAAGGACCAATGGTATTTGGATTCAGGATGCTCATCACATATGTCTTGAAGGAAAGACTGGTTTGTAAACATAAAGCCCTCAATGAAAAATATGGTAAAATTCACAAATGACAATACCCTAGTAGCTGAAGGTATTGGTGATGTTATGATTATGAGGAAAGATGGCAAGAGGTAAGTAATTTCTGATGTGTTGTACATACCAGGCATGAAGAGCAATTTTCTCAGTATAGGGCAGTTGGTCGAAAAGAATTATAAAGTGTCGATCAAAGATAAGATGATGAGAGTCGTCGACGAAAATGGAAGATTAATCTTGAAGGCTCCTATGTCTCATAATCGAACCTTCAAGATCAAACTAAATGTGATGGAGCACAAGTGCCTTTCGAATGCAGCTAGCAGAGATGAATGGATATGGCATTATAGACTAGGCCATCTCAACTTCAGAGACATCAGAGATTTGAAGAGAAGAAATATGGTTTCAGGATTGCCAGAAATCGACATTCCAAATGAGGTATGTGAGGAATGTGTGCAGGAGAAGAAGCACAAGAATAGCTTCAGCAAGGATGCAGGAAGTAGGTCGAAGGCTTTTCTTGAAGTCATATACTTTGATGTATGTGGACTAATCCAGGTGGATTCGATGGGAGGTAACAAATACTTTGTTACATTCATAGATAATTTCAGTCGAAAGTTGTGGACTTACTTGATCAAGAAGAAAAGTAAAGTGATCGAGGCATTTTCCAAGTTTAAGTCTATGGTCGAAAGACAAAGTGATCGAAAACTCAAATTTTGAGAACTGGTGGTGGTGGAGAGTATGTGTTGAAAGACTTCGACAGGTTATGTGAAAAGGAAGAAATTATGCATGAGATTGTGCCACCCTATACTCCACAGCATAACAGAACTGCAGAAAGGAAGAATCGAACCATGATGAATATGGTGAGAAGTATGTTGAAAGGAAAAAATTTACCTAAAGAGTTTTGGGGTGAAGCTGTTTCGACTGCATGTCCTACAAAGAAGCTAGAAGGAATTACTCTAGAAGAATGTTGGTATGTGTGAAACCTAGCTTGATTAATCTGAAAGTATTTGGGTCTATTGCACATATACATGTGCCAGATCAGTTTAGAAGAAAACTTGATGATAAGTCAAGTCAAATAATTCTAGTTGGATATCATTCGACAGGAGGCTACAAGTTGTTCTATCCAGTGAAAAAGCAGATTGTGATTAGCAGGGACGTGATTATAGACGAGTTTAAAGAATGGTATTGGACTGAAAAGGTCAAGAAAGATTCAATGGGAATCCTACTTGAAGAACCAGAAACTCAAGTCGAAAGAGAAGTTCGACAAGAGGAACCAACAGTTATAGATCAACCAAGTACAAGCAGGCCTCAAAGAACAAGACGCATGCCTGCAAGATTGCAAGATTGTGTGATTACATCAGATGATGTTATAGATAATGAAGGTGAGCTGGTACATTATGATTTCCATGCAGATGTCAAACCTGTTAATGCAGCTGAAGCATTGACTGATTTGAAGTGGGTGAAAGCAATGAACGGAGAAGTAAAGTCTATCGAAGACAATAACACTTGGTCACTTATCGAATTGCCTCAAGGCAAGAAGGAAATTGATGTCAAGTGGGTATACAAAGTGAAAATGAATTCGAAAGGGGAAGTAACTCGACACAGAGAAAGGCTTGTGACGAAAGGATTTCTACAGAAAGAAGGAATAGACTTTGATGAAGTTTTTGCACCTGTTGCTAGGATCGAAACAATCAGGTTGGTTGTTGGTCTAGCAGAAATAAATAGATGACACATATTTCAGATGGACGTGAAGTGTGCATTCCTGAACGGACCCTTAGACGAAGAAGTTTATGTTAAACAACCAGTTGGGTTTGTGAAACATGACGAAGATAGAAAGGTGTACAGGCTGTATAAAGCCCCGTATGAATTGAAACAAGTTCGAAGAGCTTGGAATAAGAAAATTTATAGTTTCCTATGGGAGAAGAAATTTGTGAAGTGCACAATTGAACATGGAGTATATGTAAGAAGAAGAAATAGTGAATTGCTTATATTATGTCTCTATGTTGATGATTTGTTGATAACAGGAAGCTGCAAAAGTGAGATCGAAGACTTCAAAGGTGATCTCAACAAGGAATTCGAAATGTCTGATCTGGGTGTGTAGGTCGAAGTATTTTGAAGACTAAGAACCATAATGAATATAGATAGTTTAGACACAATGAATTAGGTGGTGTGTTAAATTGTAATTCATAGTGTCAAAACTATGGTGTGTCGAAGAGCACGCATATTAGATTTGTTTTAGATTTAAATAGATTTGATTTAGATCTAAAATAAATAGATTTGATTTAGTATCAAAAGAGGTATTTTGGGCTTTTATAGTTTTGGGCTTTGAGATAACCAAAATATATAAATAGGGAGTAACCCCAAAGTGTTTAATCAAGTCAATTAAGTTGTACTCCTAGAATTTGCAGTTGCAAGTGAGTAACAAAGTTTTCCACAGTTTGTGGGTAGAGAGAAACTCTGCAGAAAATAATTGTCTTCTTTTTTTTTTTGTCTTTCTCATAATTGAGTGTCATTGTGTAGAAATTCACCTTAGATATTTAGTGGATTTCTAACAAAATTAAAAAACATTAACGAAATAAATTAGAAGATAACGAAAAGGAATGAAATGGAGCATCCATTTTATTCTACTATTTGAATATTTTTAGAAATGGTACAAAACAAAAGTATATTTTTTTGGTGTGCATAAAATGAAATGAATGATTATTTTATTATTTCAACCGTCTAAATAAAACTTAAAAATTAAAATCAATATAAAGTATTTTTCCAAATCTTTCATTCTTAAATATATTGGTACCTCAAATAGATTCAGATGTTGGACCATTATATTTCACCATATCATTTTGTTTTTACAAGCCTCATATTTGAAAAACCATCATTTTGATCACCTCTAATGACGATAATAATATATTTTGGGGATCCGGTATTTCGATCGCCTTTAAGGGTGGTATGGATCCCTCTTACAGGTTTAACATCTTGATCGCCTCTAGAGTGGTTTTTTCAAGAACTTTTATTTCTCTATAAAAAGTCATGAATAAAAAATGTATCTTCAACATAATAAGATGAGGGCCTCATTAAAAACCCTCGCCCCGTACGAGGTA